AGCAGAATATATGGCGGAATATTACAGAACTAGTGCTAGTTGTTTGTGTCAGGTTTAAAACAATTCCAGAGGTTTACTTTAAATGATTAAGAGAAATGTAATAAATTTTATTAAGCAGTGGAAATGTTGATGTAATTTTTTTAATTTGCATTTTTTGGACGCGCGCGCGTCGATTGCATCTTTTTGGCGGGAAAAAACTATGTTCGCGCTTTTGGCGGCAAAACATAAATTTATTACCTTCACTGAGACTTAAACACTATGTGATATATTACATATGCATTATTCATTTATTAAACGCATTATTTAGTTTCCATGGTTCAGTGTTTTTGAAAACATTGCCAAGGAAATAGAATTTGACGTTCTTCTTCCCTGAAGTACGGCTATCACTGCACGACGAAACTTCGGCAGCCGCCAACCATAAATGAACGGATCAATCAAAAATTTCATATACAAAGTTGTATCAACAATGATACTCGCTATGGTTGATTTGAGATAGTCGGAGTAGGAGCTTGGATGCCAGTATAGTGTTACGTACCAAGCGACCGTAACTGGTAGGACGAAAATGATTAAGCAAGCTGTTAACATAATATTGACAACAATGAGCTGGCGTTGAGTGCGGCGATGGTGCTCTAATGCACGACTAGCATGTGATGTTGGTTTGGTTATATCAAGAAACGGTATCAACTTATTCAAATGCCTTTTGTATGCCACGCAGAGAGCTATATATGACAAAATAATAATAATTTGGACAGCAGTTAGATGCATATAAACATCAAGCTTTAGATAAACGTCTTTTGGGACACCCATGATGTTGAGAAATGAGAAAACCAGCGAGTAAATCCAGACTAAGATCACAGTAACTGTAGCTCTTACGCGCGTTATGACTTGTTTCTGTTTATGAGGGAATATGATGGCAAAAAGCTGCGCCCAAGACAGAAACAGCACAATAAGAAACGACACATTCATAGTTATCCCCGATAAAACAGTCCCTGCTTTTAACAGAACATTGTACTCCACATCAGTGATGTTTTCAAACGATGCTTTAAAGAAGAAGAAAGCGA